CCATCAGATTCCATAAACCAATTCTAATGTGAATGTAGTTTGCCAATCTAGAGTGCTATATATGGAGATTTAATCTGCTATATACTAATGTTTATGTTCCCTAATACCCAAGCTCTTACTCTTCTTTTTATATTGCTTTTAATTTTTTGTTTTCTTTATATAGCCTTAGCTTTTTATAATTGTTTATTTAGATTCTGATGTCTTTTTTATGCTTTTTAACTGATTGTAGCACACCCTCCTCAGTCTATTATGAGTTTTACCTGCCTATTTTAAACAGGTGGAAAGCAGGTAGACAAACAACTTATATGTGTACTGCTGTATTTTCAGACATGCCTTGGCAATATCTTGAGTTTCATGCTGCCCTTAAAAATGAAATGAGGTTTCATTTTTAAAGACACTTTGAAAACAGTGCATCAATAGAACACAGAATTCATATAAACATGTAGCAAAAGTAATAATTTCAAAAAGATTTATCTCTAACAGTTTGATTACTTGACTTAGGCTTGGCTCTTGTGCTTGATATTTGATACCTATGCTTGTGAAACTACAAAGGTGAAGACTGCATTCAGTTTTGTTGAATGTCTGGTACTTAACTGTTATTTTAAAAGATCCTCTTGCACTATTTGAAGAATGGTCCTTCAGAATGCATACAGTACAATACGTAAATTGAATTCTGTTGGCTTGAGTATTTTCTTGAGCTTTCTTGGGTTCTCTGTAAATACTCTGCACCCTTGTATGCTGTTGATGTGCTTGACAGTGTTGAAAATGCATGCTGGTTTTTCAGTTCTGTTGGAGCTTTAAGATAAAGAATGTGTATTTCCATTTTTATTTAATTTGCATTTGTATTTTCATACAGGGAGCAATATGTATAGCTGCTTGTTTGTTTTTCTGCTTTGATGTTGTTAAAATACAAATGCAGGTAGGCTCTATTTTCTGGCTTTAATATTTTCAGGCAGCAACTGAGGAGTGCTATTTCTGGATTTACTCAGGCCCATTTCTCTGGCACTTTACTCTGTTAGATGAATGATGGGCAGCAATAAACATAGACTGCCAGAAAGGCTACTTCCTGTGAACCTGGGGCAAAAAGCAAGGAAAGAGAGATTGTTCCAAGTACCCATTATTTTCTATAGCCATATCCTTCATAAACACATAAGAATGCAGCCAACTTGTAATAATCCAGAATATTAGGGGTTGGACCATTTCTAAGCTTATACACTACAAGAGATAGCCCATTCTCAGCCTACACATATGATCAGTCAATATATTTGGCTTTGCTTCTATATACAGTAAAAGTGTTGATAAATAAGGATTTTTTTTTAAAAAAAAAGTAAAGTCCTACTGCAATTTTGTTTTGTTTATATCAGGTCAGAGAAACTATTGCTGCATTTCTAGTTTCATCCAGAAAACCTTTAGCTACTTTACATCTTTACGGAGTTTGGAAAAATGGAATATATGTAATATTAATGTAAAGTTTCCTTGTTTTATTCTTTATATGTTTTTCAGGGCAAAGCCCTATCAATTTCACCTGCATAAAAATATTTAAATTATGTGTGCACACACACACATACATATAAAACATGATCTGAGGTTTATGCCTTTATATAAAATGCAAAGTTTTCAATCTCCATTTAAAACAATTATAGGTGGGATTATAAATATTGTGACATAGTTAAATTAGATTAGAACCCTCTGTGTCATTTTGTGTTAGTCACTCTAGCTAATTCCTTTTACAGAGCTTTTGACAGACCATTTCAAAGAACTCTTCACTTGAGGGAGAATAACTTAATAGGGGTCAATGTAGAAAAATATATTTATTTTTATTTTTATTTTCTATTATCAGTTAGATAATTATTGAAGCCAATATTAAGCACTTATTGCAGTTTTAATCAATGTTGAAGAGTACTCAAAATCCATATGTGATGCTAAAACAATGAAATTGATATTTTAATAAATAAGTCATAGCTATAATTTAACAACATTAAAATGGAGGAAGCTGCAATGTTTCCATTTTCAATATTCAGTTTAAAAGATAGGCTATTTTAATGGAGCCAGTCATTTTGAAAAGGGCTTGTTATTAAACAATCTATGTGCTTTTTTTTTCTCAGTACTCAATCTTTTTGTAAAAGTAGGCTGTCTACTGTTTTGACATGTTATTGTTTCTTTGGTGTATGCATTGGCCTGTTATGGTAATGATGCTTTTACTTTGTTTCTTATAATGTTTTTTTTAATGGTATCAATTTGTTTCGTGTCATTTTAGAAAGTAGTTCTGAGACACATGTAGTTTTGAGCTGACATGATCCATTATTATCAATATTATTAATATGGTTCATTTATATGTCAGACTGTTTGATAATTTGTTTATTATAATTAGATAATATACATTGCTTTAATATGGTAATCCTTTTTTCTGTTGCAAAATCAATTGGAGCTGCAAAGATTGTTTTTTATTGATATAGAAAGGTAGTGTATGTATATCTGTAGAAATATCTAAAAACAATATGAGATTATAAAACAAGCTTATTGAATAACATTTGGATGGTTTTCTCCTCTTTCATTATTGCTTACTCTACCAATGAAATCATAACATGCACATGGCAACTTCAGTCATGTTTCAGTTCTGTTTTATAATCTGTTTTCCAAAGTGTCCTTGAGGGCAGAGACTGATTTTGCACCAAAGCAAAGATGGGTGTCATAGATCTCTTTCTCAAAGCAAGTTTTCCTATTTTATAAAATGTTAATTGATGTGTTGGATTAGAAATCAAATCAGAAGCTTCACTTGGAAGGAGAAGAAGCAAAGAAACAGACCTCATATAATTTGAGACATAAAACAGCTTGCATGGAATGTGAAATGACAGTAACTAATTTTTCAGAAGAACAAAGTTGATAAACCTTGGATCAACTGTGTCCATCTGTTTAATTCACCACTCATTTTCCATTATTCTGGTTTCATTCTTCAGCATCCAGTTCCCCAATCCATGCCTAGGGGAAAAAAATAAAACATTGCTTCCAGATTCCTATATAAAAAGTCCTTATACACATCCACTGTCTTTTCTCTCATCAATTTTTCCCTCATCAGCTTTTTGCCTCATCATCATAATGTTCATTTATGCTTTGCAGCACCTTACAAGAGTCCCCTTTTTCCCGCTCCTTTGTGGGCCAATGCTCCCTCTAGCCCAGGGGTGTCAAACTCAAGGCCCACGGGCTGGATCCGGTTTATGGGGTGCTTAGATCTGGACCGTGGGCCTGCCCTGGAAACAGCAAATGACTGTTGCACTGTACCTCTGCCAGTGAAAACGGAGTTCAGGAGGGCCATATGCGGCCCTCTCAGGCTGTTTTCAGCTGTGACAGCTTCTTGCAGCCCTCTGTCAGCGAAAATGGAGCTCGGGGGTGTGTGTTCCCAAGCTCCAGTTTTGCTGGCAGAAGGTTGCTGGAGGCCGTCAGGGCAGAAAATGGAGCTTGGGAGCCCGTTTTCACTGGCAGAGTCCTCAGGCCACCACAGGCACACACCCCCAACACAAGTGATGTCAAGCTGGCCACATCCACCTCGACCCCAAGGTCAAACACAACCCTGATGCAGCCTTCAATGAAATTGAGTTTCACATCCCTGCTCCAGCCAATCACTAAGAGAGTACTAGAGCAGAAAATAGCTGGCAGAGTGCTCTCTCTACCTCAGTTTTCACCTTAACACATTTCAGTTTTTCAGTGAGGAAAAAGAAAGGAAAATAAGCTAAGGAAGTAACAAGTCAGCCATCATTCAATGGGGAGAACTAGGGTGATTTGGGTTTTGCAGGTAAGGGGAAGATCCAAAAGTAAAAAAAAACAGGAATTCTCAATTTCTGAAGCTGCTCCAGAATAAGTGAAATTTATACTATAACATTTCCTCTGGAGCAGAATTTAATTTTCAAAAATAATCAGCTTGGCTTTTGATGATGGCTGAAAGAGTAAAAAAAAAAACCCACCCGATGCATATATCCCTTATTTAACTTGCCTTTTTAAACTAGAAGCTGTGATTATACAATGAAGAACAGTCTATTAATGAGCCAGCAGAGACCAAATAAAGTTTGAAGAACTTTCTAATTCTAAAGTTGTAAAAATGTAACATGATTGCAGAATGTACTAATGATATTTTTCAATTACTTTTGGTATGTTGCTTTCGTATGAATCATCATGATAAGATATGAATGGGGAAGTAGCAGGCTGGTTGAGCTATTCTTCTGTCATGGAAAGAGGACCACAGCGCATGAGAAGTGCAGCCTTTATTCTTCAGACAATTCCTGCTTTCATATTTTTAATAATGCTTATGCGGTCTCATTCTTAGTAGTGCTTGCAAAGGTCAAAGGAACAGCTTGTAAAATATGGGAAGGATAGTTACATATTCGGATTAGGTTTGATACTCCAATACTCCATACTCTGGTTCTGCTCCTTGGAGGCACAGTGCAGCTGCAACTACTTTGGGAAAGCTATTTTGAGTCTTGTATGAATCTGTTTCTGTTTAAGTTAATTTCAGCTGCACAGTACCGTAGACAGTCCTTGTTAAAACACTCTAAACAAGGAGGGAAAGCACCCAATGTGATCATTTGTACCTTTGCCTTTTGCCCTTCTCATAGCTTGACAAAAATTGTAAATGAAAAAAAGAAATCCACATCTTATTGGTTTCTTTGGAGGAAAAAGATACATTCTAATCATGTTGGGGAAGCTATAATCCTCCATTCCATATTGCTTTCTGGAAAGGGCATCACCCATAATACAATAAGTAGTTGCATATTTTCAGAAGGTCTGCTTTCATTCACACTGAAGTGTGGAAATTTAGAGAGAACTTCCCAAACAAATATATTATGTAATGAATATAGTATGGAACATACTCTGTCATCTAAGATACAGAGACATATTAGAATTGTTAGAACTATTCATAAATATTTTAATTGTTTAAACTCTAAGTTATAGACACACACTCATCTCCCAACATATAACATTATTTTTTCTACATCTTTTATTTTTAGAATATCATTCTTAAAAGATGGAAGCTTCCAAATAGCTAATGTGAGTAAATCAGATGCTGGAAGTTATACCTGCCTGGCAGAAAACAAGTTTGGAAAAGCTAGTAGCTCAACTACTTTATTAGTAACAGGTAATTAGATGGCTAATAGGGTTTTACTTGAAAATTATATGAATTGAGTAATGTGTGAAAGAGATATTTTGATTTTGAATTTTCATTTTATGTTAGGATAACATAGTATACATAATTCAAATGAAATACGTAATTTGAGATCTTTCTAAATTGCTATGAATGCCACACTATACAATTTTTCAAAGGTTCAGAACTGCATAGAATAGCCATTAAGCCTCTGGAAATATCTATTAAAAGCAGAAAAGCATGAGAGGTTAAGATATGCCATCAAATGTTAATATTCTGAGAGGTAGTCATGGATCTCCCCTCCCAAATCTGAAGAAATGAAATGGAAAAAAACAGGGAGTGATCTTTTATTTATAGCCATGGAATGTTCCAGTAAAGGTTCAAAAGACAGGATTTTCTTGATCTATCAGTCAACAGAGAATGGTAGTCAATAACATAGCAGTTTTGGCAAAGAAAAGATGTTGTACACAATTAGAAAATACAGTGCAGCAAGAGGAAGCAAGGAAAATCATTCACAGAACCTTTTCAGTTTACTGAAGAAAATGAAATATAAATTTGTCTACAAATAAAAGAGGAAACCTGCTACAACAATGTCAAAATGGTGGACACAGACACACAAAGCCCCAACTTTTAAAAAATGTATAGTAGACTTCCACAACCTTTCCCGCTTAGTGAACCAGCAGCGTGGGTGTGAGGGGATAGTTCCACACGAGCGACGACAAACATGCACGCATATCTCACACAAGGGGGGATGCATGTGTGAGCTTGCTCCCCACTTCTGTGGCCTGTTTCCAAATGGCTCACGTGCTGGTAGTGGGCTAGGTTCCAGGGTTTGGGGACTTCTGATATATGGTACTTTGTATGTAGAAAATTGATTTCCCAATTGTACCCACCATTTTGAATCGATGTTCCTCAGTATAAGTACCTCGGAAAGAAATACCTGTAACTTGGGTCATTCTTTTTGAAAAGCCAGTTTATTTAATTTGCATATTAAAATAATAGATCAATAATGATTTTTTAAAAAAAAATCCAAAATAACTTAGAGTTGTTTTAGTTCTCTTCTACATTAATTGGCAACCTGCAGGTTGCAAATTTTGTGCACTATCAGCATCCTTTTTGTGATGCCTGTAGCAGGCCTAGAGGGGCCAGGAACAATTTTTACACAATAAAATTATTGTCAGCTCACTATTGTTTGACCATTTTCCCCATGGAATTTGAGGGACAACACAAACTAGTTTCATTTTTGCTTCTTACACCTCATATTAACCTTCCTCCCTCAAAAAAAAATTACGAACAGGAGGAAGAATATTATCTTCTCCTTACATCATATGGATCAAAGTGGCAAACAAATGC